AACGGGATCGCAACCCTCGGTGTCGCGCCCGCACCGCGCTCAGTCAGTGAGCGGTAACCGGTCTCCACATGGGTCGGGATCCGAACCCTCGGCGGGAGCGCCGCCACGCTCCCAAGCGGCGCACTCTCCAGTGCACCACCGGGCCGGCCCTGGGCCTGAGTTTTTTCATCAAACCACACCCTATGCAATTCTGCATTCCTGAGCAGTCTTCTCTGAGTGGTCCTGTGCTGATTGGGGGACGGGTCGGCTGTCCTTGCTGTGTCCCAGTGCTCTCCCGGTGGGCCTGTCTCCACCACTGCCCATGCTCCAAACACTTCCCATGGGATGGGCCCTGCGCTGGTCCCTTGCAATGACTCACTGGCTTCTTAATGGCTCCCTTTTTTCAGTTGTGGCTCCTTGTTCTTGCGTGGGTCCATGGGAACCCTATTAGTGGTCTTGCTGTCCTGGGGGCTGCCAAGGCCCTCTTCTCCTCTGCTGCCTCCAAGTAACTCCATCTCAAGGGCACAGCTGCAGCTTCTGCCAGCTCCTGCTCCATGAGCTTATCAGCTCAGGCCTTAAAGCAGCCGCGGCCCAAATCGCTCAGAGCAATTTTTTCTTTCTCTCATTGTAGTTTCTCCTGCCTTCATGAACTCCATAGGTCTCTCCTCCTCTTCCCCTGAGCTCCAGCTGCCCCGGCTTGGCTGTTGTTACATTTTTATAGTTGTAAATTGGTTGATTTGTGGGAGAGAGTGGCGCCGGGGACTGTCTATTCTGCCATCTTGATTGGATCTCCCCCTTGTCAAATTATTGAAGGAAGGCTGTCAATTAATATTTTGATACACTTTGTCTTTCCAAGCTAAAATTCTATTATTGCTTATAAAACACTGACTTATTTTTTGGTATGGGTTCTTATTAATAACTCAATATAACATTAGAATGGTATCTAATTAATTATAGTTTAGAGAATATATTATTTTGAATATTTGGTATGAATTTAAATGGTAACTTCGTATTTGAAGGTAACGATCAACTGAACCTGAGTACCCACTATTCTGTTTTTCAATTTGAGAGAATTTCATGTGGTTTTTAAGTACACTCTAAACTTAGATATAGTGATATACAGGTTAAGAATGCAGTCTCTGAAATTAGAGTATCTGGACTCCAATTTTAGCTCTGCTTTGTATTAGCTTTGTGTTCTTGAGCAGGTTACTGAATCTGACAATAATAATAGTTCTTACCCCTTACTTGTAAGAATTAAATGAGATATTGTACTGTGCCTGAAACATAGTCAAATTTAAATGTCAGCTATTATGTTATTTTTATGTACTATTAAATTGTAATTGTTTCTACCCACACATAACGTGTACATGCACAAATTACAAAGAGGAGTTAAAAAACAGGAGCAATTAATTCTGCCTTCAGACATTTAAGAAGTTGTCATAAAGGGCATTCCCTTGATCTGGCCTTTGAATGATGATTAGAAACTTGTTTGGGGGGCCGGCCCGGTGGCGCACTGCTACAGTGCGCCGCTTGGGAAGTGTGGCAGGCGCTCCCACCGAGGGTTCGGATCCCACATACAGACCGGTTCCCGCTCACTGGCTGAGCGAGGCGTGGGAGCAACACCGAGGGTTGCGATCCCATTGCCGGTCCCAGTCCGGTACGGGTGTGACACTGAGGGTTGCGATCCGTTGCCGGACACGAAAAAAGACAAAAAGGAAAAAAAAAAAAAGAAACTTGTTTGGGAAAGGGATATATGTGATCCCAGGCAGCAAAAGTAACATGAGCCAAAAAATTTGTATGGACATGAAATTAAAGAATAAAATGAAGCCAAATTCTGAAGGACCTGGAATGTCATGCTGAAGAATTTAAACTTACACCCTCAATTCAGTTGGAAGCTATCAAAGACCTTTAATAAGCCTGGAAGTGGAATGATAAAATCTGATTTAGAGTTAATCATGGTCACAGCAAAGAGAACCGATTGAAGCAGACATGGGAGAGATCAGAGACGGGGATATCTACATGAGAGTGATTTACCTGAGAGACAACAGCCAACTCTGATTAATATTTCATGTACTTTGAAAAGGTAGAGTTGCTTAGGCAGAATATAGAAGCATATTCCTGAACTTCATTTCTTGTGAATTTAAAACAGCCAATTCTGTGACTTTGATTTCTTTTGATTGGTCTTTTTCCTAATACAGAATTTCAGAATCATTTGTAATTAGGTTAGAGTTCTAGTTATGTTCTAATTAGATTTAAACATTTTAGAATTTTAAGGTTTATGTAACTTGGCTATGAGATGAATAACCATGTTTTTTTTTTTTTAAACTTCGTCTTTCTGGTGTTTAATACATAGCAGAAACTAAACAAATTTATTGTTAAGTCAAAATCCAAATCGAATTCTATAGATGAGACCATATCATTTATATTAGATACTATCTCTAATTCGTAATATGTGACTAATCTTTGTATAATCCCCCAGGCCAGTGATTCTCAACCTGGGATGATTATCCCCCCCAGGGGGCATCTGGCAATGTCTGGAGACATTTTTGCTTATCTCAACAGGAGGAGGGGTTCTACAAGGCATCTAGTGGGTAGAGGTCAGAGATGCTGGTAAACATCCTACAGTATACAGAACAGTCTCCCTCCTGTCTCAACAAAGAATTATCTGACCCAAAATGTCAATAGCGTGGAGGTTGAGAAATTCTGCTAGGCTTTCCGTAATGTTATTGCCATTGCACAAGTGTTTCAGTGCCCCTATAGTGTTTTACAGTTTCCTAAACGTATACAGAACAGTCTCCCTCCTGTCTCAACAAAGAATTATCTGACCCAAAATGTCAATAGCGTGGAGGTTGAGAAATTCTGCTAGGCTTTCTGTAATGTTATTGCCATTGCACAAGTGTTTCAGTGCCCCTATAGTGTTTTACAGTTTCCTAAAACTTAAAAATGAATAAAAATGTATGTAAACAACTATCAACAGGTATAGGTTGGATAGGATAGAACCATTCCCATTGGAACTTATTTAGCACAGTGAAATGAGTGAGAAACTTCCTCTTGATTTATTAGCATTGTGTGTACTACAGAATGTTCAGGTCGGTATCCCTAGCGTATCAGTGGACACTGGACCTGAAGGTGCTAGATAGCCAACAACTATGTCATGAAGCAGGCAGCTACTGAATATTCTGCAAACAGATAGGAATCTTGTCCAATCTAGATTTCAAATCTCAGTATTTTCACTACAAATGATATGTGATATTTTGAGCTTAACGTTTGTGATTTCATTATTTTCTGAAGGATAACAAGAGCTGATTCAATATTAATATTTCAGAAAAATGGAAAGACCTTATTATCTAATAAGACCCAGAGGTTATTACCTAATAACATCAGCCAAGTTGCAGTGAAAAACACCATATAATCAAGACATGAATTTTAAGCATCCTTGCTCATTCAATATTTTATGACAATAATCAAATTATTTTTAACCTTGCTAACTCTATCATGTATAAAATGAGTACAAAATGCTTTGATACATGGTAATGAAAAGATTAAAGGAACTATTTCAATTCAGTAATAAAAAGACAACCCAGTTTAGAAATGGGCAAAGGACTTGAATAGTCATTTCTCCAAAGAAGATATACAAATGGCCAGTAGGAATGTGAAAAGGTGTTCAACCTCATTAGCCATCAGGGAAATGCAAATCAAATCCACAATTAGATACCACTTCAGACCCACTAGGACAGCTATAATCAAAAAGACAGATAATAACAATTGTTGGTGAGGATGTGGAGAAACTTGAACCCTCACACACTGCTGGTAGGAATATAAAATCACATGACCACTTTGAAAACTAGTCTGGCAGTTCCTCAAAAAGTCAACCACAGAGTTACCATGTCACCCATCAATTCTACTCCTAGATATATGCCCCAGAGAAATGAAAACATAGGTCCACACAAAAATTTGTACACAAAAGTTCATAGCAGCATTATTCATAAAAGCCAAAAAGTTGAAGTAACCCAAATGTCCATCAACTTATGAATGGATAAACAAATTGTGGTGTAGCCATATAGTGGAATATTACTTGGCACTAAAAAGGAATGAAGTACTGATACATGCTGCAATGTAAATGAACCTTGAAAGCATAAGTGAAAGAAGCCAGTCACAAAGGACCTCATATTGTATGATTCCATTTATATGAAATATGTAAAATAGGTACATTTATAGAGACAGTAGGTTATTGGTTGCCTAGGGCTGAGGGGGACAGAGGGGTCAGGAGATGACTACTAAGGGGTACAAAGTTTCTTTTTGGAGCTAATGTAAATAATCTAAAACTTACTGTGCTGATGTATGCACAACTCTAAATGTACTAAAAACTATTGAATTGTAGGTATATTGTATATGTGAATTATATCTTAATAAAGCTGTATTTAAAAAGGATTAAAAGAAGATATTACATAAAGCGCAGTTTTGACTTATAATATACAAGGAACAATAATTTTTGCCATTTTTCTAGCTAAGATACAATATCCTGAGATATGGAGTTATTATTTTAGTTACAAAATTATAGTTTGGAAAAATCACAGTTTTTTTTAAAAATAGCAAATTGTTACTTTTGTTTTTGTTATTTTATATTTTCTTCAGTTTTACTTATTGAACAAGTCTTTTCTAATTGGTAAGAGTATAAAAATATTTTCAAATATGTATAGAATATGAATTAATAATAATGTGTTTCTTGGAGATAAACCTTTGTGAATTTAATTTCTTTGACTAAAATTTTAGATATTGAAATTTAGCACTGGAAAATTACAACAAAAGTTGTTTATCGTATCACAGCCTTGTAACACCAAGGTCAAGGGTTCAGATCCCCATACTGGCCAGCTTCCAAAAAAAAAAAAAAATGTTTATCACATTTATTTTGATGATGAGAAAATTGAGGCCTACTGAGACTATATTATATTTTCAGTGTTTTATGGCATTTTTGGTATTCTTTGTCTATTGTTCAAAATCTACCAGACCTAATTTTGGTACAGGCAATCTCGTAACATGTCATTTACAACATAAAAATCTAAATAATTAAGAAATTTAAAAAATAAACTTTTAATTTTGGCATAGTTTTAGGTTTATAGAAAGGTTGCAAATATACTACATAGAGTTCCTGTTTACCCTTCACCCAGCTTTCCTCTAATGTTAACTAAACCACGTGACATTTAGTGATCAAAGAAAATGTTTTAATCTGAAGTGTGTTTAGAATTTATTTATTCTTTTGTTCAGTGGAATTCTACAAATATGGTTTAGTAAGGTTTTGATAGGCATTGATGAGGAAACATGGCTTCTATGAACAAAGAAGCTGGGAAGTGTTGCATTGAAACATTCTAGTACAAAGGGTAGTTTCTTTGCTCTCAGGAAACAGTTGGGAAAACAAACAATAAACAATCATAAGAATATTTCTTGGAAGATCATGCATGACTAGTGTTCTATGGAACAGACTTTAAGAAATCTATCTGTTTAGATGGTTTCTCATTAGATTTTCCATGTTTGCTAAATTTGCCTAAATTATTTCTCATTTACTTTACATATTACAGTGGAATATTTTAAAAACTATAATCATGAGAATACACTTAATATTAGACACATACACGTATATACATATATACAGAGAGTGTCTTTGCTTTTTATATATTTATTTCAGCCCAAGTAGGTTAGTTTTTCCTCAGAAAATTGCTTTTAAGTTCTTAAGTTTCTATGCTCTATATAACGTCTAAAGAACAGTCTTGAGAAGTTTAAATGTACATCATTTAAATAAACCTAGAAACTTCATTTCTGAACAGAACTGATGTTAATTTTTAGACTCTTCTGTAACACAATTTTTATTCACTGTACAAAGATCAAAGATTGTAACACTAAATTTTTTTTTTCCTTTTTGTCTTTTTTACTGGCCGGTAATGGGATCACAACCCTCGGTGTCGCGCCAAATTTTTTATTTTCTCTGCTAGTCTATGTCTATGTATGAGGGTAAATGCAAAAAGTTTGTGGAAAAATTGAATTAAAAGTTAATATGAATTCTTCATTAACTTTTTTTTTTTTTTGACTGGCTGGTAGGTACAGGAATTGAACCCCAGTCCTTGGTATTATCAGTACCACACTGTAACCAACTGAGCTAAATGCCAGCCCTCTACCATGAACTTTTTGAAGACCGCTCGTATATCACATATTTTTATATGGTTATTATCAGAATTGCATCATATGATTTAGGACTTAATTACATACCACATTGTGTTTTCTAATTGTTTCATATTTAGTGTGGATCACTATGAAAAATGAGTATAAGCTTCCTGCGGACAGAAATCAAGTCTTAGTGAATATTGTTATTTTCCATAGATAGTACTCAGTAAGTACTAAGAACATAGCAGATGTATAGTTTTGATTAACGGAAGTTTTAAATGTTTAAAATTAGTTTCTATTTTATTTTTTCAGATCTATCAAATCTATTCAAAGCGATCTGCTGAGGATATTTATAAGATACTGACATCTTACAAAGCTAATTACCTAATTGTAGAGGATGCTATATGCAATGAGGTGGGAACCATGAGAGGCTGTAGAGTTAAAGATTTATTAGACATTGCAAATGGCCATGTAAGTAACCATTTGGAGAGTTTTTTCCTTTTTTCTTTTTGAGAAAAATTATTTTATTTAAACTTATCTTCAAACTTTATTTTTGGAACTTAACTAAGAATATAACACAGAGTTAAATAATGGAGAGAGCTTATTAAAAGTAATTTGAAGTATTTTTTCAATGTACAAAAGAAAAATTGGGCATTTTTGTGAGAAAAAAAAAAGAAAAAGTAATTTTACCAATATCTGAGTTCCTTATTCATTCCCTGTACTTGTGCACATTTCAACATTCATAAACAAGGTCAAGGGTTCGGATCCCCATACTGGCCAACTACAAAAGATGGTGTAATTTGATTTGAATGATGATTTTAACTCATTATAATAATAAACTAAAGAGCAGTTGGATGCACTGTTATATTCTTATATTGAGAAATTTCTTGTAATTTGATTCATACCTAGAAAAATTGCTTACTAAATTAACAGAGTGACTGAACATTGAATCCCTAATATCCACAAAAACTAGAACATTCAGAATCATTTTATCATTTATTTATTTAGCCACTGGCCAGGATAGGGCTTGAACCCTGGATCTTGGTGTTATGAGCACCATGTTCTAACCAACTGAGCTAACTGGCCAGCTGCTTGGTGTCATTTTAGTTGTTAGGATTTAGCTGTAACTTAATTTCTACATTGATTTCAGCTATTTTACCAAGCTGCTTTACTTCTTAACCTTCTGTGAATATACTTCATATCTGGTAACCAAGAAGACTGGCCAGGGAGTTTGTATATCTGATCATGCTGGCTATAGTGAATGTTTGACTCCTGAGAAAGTTGGGGGTGGGGGACCTTAGGATAAATTTATTTATTTATTTATTTATTTTTAGAAATTTTATAATTTCATGTTTTACATTTCAATCTTTACTCCATATATTGCTGTAAGTTATGAGGTAGGCTTCTAACTTTATACTTTGTCAAATGGTTGGCCTTTATTTTATTATCAGTTATTGAATATTTTATCTTTTACAAATTGCCAATACTACCTTTGTCATATATTCAATTCTTATATAAAATTGATCCTGTTTTGGCATACTTTAATTTGGACAATTTTTTTTTAATTACTGTAATTTTTTAATTGATGAAGATGTTAGAATAGTGTAAAGCGGGGCCGGCCCGGTGGCGCACTGCTACAGTGCACCGCTTGGGAGCGCGGTGGCGCTCCCGCCGAGGGTTCGGATCCCACATACAGACCGGTTCCCGCTCACTGGCTGAGCGAGGTGCGGGCGCAACACCGAGGGTTGCGATCCTGTTGCCGGTCCCGGTCCGGTACGGGGTCGACACTGAGGGTTGCGATCCGTTGCCAGACACGAAGAAAGACAAAAAGGAAAAAAAAAAAAAAGAATAGTGTAAAGCATATAAATGTGGAAAGGATATTTTTGAGAATATAACTTTCTTATATATTTTTAGTGGCTACCTTAAATTGTAGTGCATATTCTGTTCAGGTTGCAGCCAAGACTTTTTGTCCCTTTCTTTTTTTTTTTTTTTCCTTTTTGTCTTTTTTACTGACTGGTAACGGGATCGCAACCCTCGGTGTCACGCCCGTACCGGGGACCGGCAACGGGATCGCAACCCTCGGTGTTGTGCCCGCACCGCGCTCAGCCAGTGAGCGGGAACTGGTCTCCACATGGGATCCAAACCCTCGGCGGGAGCGCCGCCGCGCTCCCAAGCGGCGCACTCTCCAGTGTGCCACCGGGCCGGCCCTTTTGTCCCTTTCTAAATAATCATAGCTCTCTGTCTTATCATCTGAGACCAGTGTGGAGGTGAGAAATTAGTTTTTGTGATTTCCTTCTTTCCTTTCTTCATGACTCCTTAATCTTGTACTATTAATTTATTCTGTCTTATGCTGCATGTATTTTGAATTTTCTCTGTTGGCACTTGATGACTGTGATCTTTGGTTTATTGGTGACAAAACTGAGTTTTATTACACATCAGGTGTTCAGTAATTACTGCTATATTGCTATCTGCTACCTTTCTATTCTGCTCTTGGCTGCCCACCATGCCAGGCATGGGCTTAAGCTAATCCAATCTTTTACTCTTAAAGTTGGCCCTCTGACAGCTTTCATAGGCATTAGAATAATATTTAGTATTTTATTAAAATAACCCCTTCAATCTCGCTAAGCTGTCTCAGTAAACATTATTAGGTAAGAATGTAAAGATTTACACTGGGTAAGTCACAAAAGCTGACTTGCCTACTAAATAATTTTGAGTCAATTCTACACAAAGAGAAGAGTTCGAATATTCATTAGGAATACAGTGTGTCCATTTCTCAGCCTTGGTAGATTCCATGATAAGGTTCTTCAGAACAGTGATAATGGATTATGGAAACATTGCCTTCTGAATTTCAGGATTAAATCATTTTTAAAAATTGGAGACACTTTATACTGATTTCTCAATCTCAGTCGGAAGTTCAGGAGTTTAGTGGGCAGGGTGACTCACTTAAGAAGCTTCTATTTGCTAAACAATGTGAGACATTTTACAGTCCATGTTTAGCAGTAACATATTTTTTCATATAAATATAGTCACTTGCACATTGAGTGCATTTCTCCTATAGGTTTAATAAGCTTTCTAATATTATGTTTCATATCTTTTGATAGGTGGTTTGTGAAGAAGGTGACAAGTTAACCTACTCAAAATATGGGCGATTTTGTCATGAGGTCAAAATTAATTATTCTCCATATGTGAATTATTTCACTAGAGTATACTGGAACAGATCCTACTTTGTATATAAAATCAACACTGTGATATCCTTCCAGTCTTGAAAAATAACAGAACCTTCATTTCAAAGACTTGTACTACCTGAAGTAAAATATGATTCTCTTCTACCTACATGGCATCTTTTGCAGATCCGACTATGGACATCTGAAGTGCTGCTTCTTTTCCCCTCCTGCTATTAACTGGGTCCAGAGTTCTGTGGGAAATAGAAGATCAAGCATTACTGTCCTTTGCTAGAATGTCAAATCTACCACTCTGAAATATTCCAGACAGGTGTCTTCCTTACTATCACATGGTCTTTAAAGGTTTTACATATTTAGCTTTTTCCCCATGAACCTTCATTCTGTTATAATATTGATCTTGAATTTGAATATATTCAGGGTCAGAGTATATTTCTGAAACATAACTTTTAACAACTACTTAATGTGCTATATAATAGAAGGAAAGAATTATTCTTACCTTTAAGCAAATTTCTGAAGGTGTTTCATGGTTTATAATAGAATTTAAATTAAGAAATAATTTAAATGTTAGCTGGAAATATGTGGCATTTAAATTAAAATGGAAATTATATAAAGGAAAGTGTTTTTTAAGGATATACATAAAAATATATCCAGAATTTTCCATGATACTGCACTCATCATCTGCTGCTTATATAAGTGGGCACTTTCTCAGTAATACATAGTGCATGATATTGCATTTTATTATTTTATGATTGTCTTTTTTCACTTATGCCCATTAATTTGATACGAATTTAATCATGATAAAACAATAACTCTTGTTACCTATATATGTTTTTTTAAATGGACAATTTAAAAGAATGTTATTCAGGTTTAAAAAAATATATGGATGTAGAGGGTATACAGTCTATCCACATGTTTTCTACTAAATTATTAAGAAATTAAGTCTTTATCAGAAGAAGAATACGTACACTAAAATGAGCAATGATTTCTGGAGATATATGCTGATGCTGTTAAACATACCTCTGCATACAGATATATTTATTATAAAACACAAGTGATATTATTTATGAAACTGTGATGCCATCTTCAACATTAAGAACAAAATGACAATTAAAATAACACTTACAACACAGTTTTACATTCTAAATGCTGTGTTCCTTTAAGTTAACTTTTTTCATATTTTAAATCATTGAAGGAAATTATAAAATAATGTAGCTTTATAAAAAGATTAAGAATAGATGATGTATCATTTTAATAAGAAGGGCTGCATATTTAGCTTATACGCCTGTTCAGTGGATAGGTTTTTAAATTTTTCATGTTATACTGCTGCAAAAATTACATTTTCAGTACTACAAATTACTACATAATGTAGCTTTATAAAAAGATTAAGAATAGATGATGTATCATTTTAATAAGAAGGGCTGCATATTTAGTTTTAGCTTATACGCCTGTTCAGTGGATAGGTTTTTAAATTTTTCATGTTATACTGCTGCAAAAATTACATTTTCAGTACTACAAATTACTACATTAGAAGGGAACATCTTTCCATTATCTTTATTTTCTGTAATATACATTTATTTTAAAAGTACATGCATTCTTATACTAACTCTATGATGCTTTTCTTTTTAAGAATTGTTTGATGGCAGTGTCATATATGAGAGTACTTCAAAAAGTTTGTGGAAGAATGGAATAAAAGGTAATACAAGTCTTTCCATGAACTTTTGAAGTACCCTCATATCTGATGCATTAGTTGCATTGGTTCTCATTTCACTCTTACATAGTGTTTAACTATGCTATGATAGCTGCAGACAATGTACTTCTGGTTGACTCTGTACATCTTAGTAGGGAGTCACTAGTATAGTGTATTTAGCTTCAAGCCTTATGTGTATATTACCAAAGTTACCTAAGTACACGGTGAATAGTCTCATGCTAGTACTTGTGATTAGAGCTGTAAAACAATTTACTTTAAAAGTCAGCTTAGGGGCCGGCCTGTGGCTCACTCGGGAGAGTGCGGTGCTGATAACACCAAGGCCACGGGTTCGGATCCTATATAGGGANGTTAACTTTTTTCATATTTTAAATCATTGAAGGAAATTATAAAATAATGTAGCTTTATAAAAAGATTAAGAATAGATGATGTATCATTTTAATAAGAAGGGCTGCATATTTAGCTTATACGCCTGTTCAGTGGATAGGTTTTTAAATTTTTCATGTTATACTGCTGCAAAAATTACATTTTCAGTACTACAAATTACTACATTAGAAGGGAACATCTTTCCATTATCTTTATTTTCTGTAATATACATTTATTTTAAAAGTACATGCATTCTTATACTAACTCTATGATGCTTTTCTTTTTAAGAATTGTTTGATGGCAGTGTCATATATGAGAGTACTTCAAAAAGTTTGTGGAAGAATGGAATAAAAGGTAATACAAGTCTTTCCATGAACTTTTGAAGTACCCTCATATCTGATGCATTAGTTGCATTGGTTCTCATTTCACTCTTACATAGTGTTTAACTATGCTATGATAGCTGCAGACAATGTACTTCTGGTTGACTCTGTACATCTTAGTAGGGAGTCACTAGTATAGTGTATTTAGCTTCAAGCCTTATGTGTATATTACCAAAGTTACCTAAGTACACGGTGAATAGTCTCATGCTAGTACTTGTGATTAGAGCTGTAAAACAATTTACTTTAAAAGTCAGCTTAGGGGCCGGCCTGTGGCTCACTCGGGAGAGTGCGGTGCTGATAACACCAAGGCCACGGGTTCGGATCCTATATAGGGATGGCCGGTTCGCTCACTGGCTGAGCGTGGTGCTGACAACACCAAGTCAAGGGCTGAGATCCCCTTACCGGTCATCTTTTGAAAAAAAAAAAGTCAGCTTATATATTTTGAAGGGGAAATAGAACACCCTATTGTCCATGTAGTGTGGAATATTTCATTGAATTATTGTTGATTTATATTATGATCTCATGTGCTGAATTAGTTTTGGTTGTGTTTTATTTGGCATATTAGTTGCTTTTGCTTCTGTCAACTTGTTTCTTAAATAAAATAGATATGAAGAAATTTTTAGTTGAATTTTTTAAGTAATGAATTCTTCATTCAGCATCATTTGAAAAGGATAACTAAGCTTTATTATAGAAATATTAATATCAGATATGAGAGATAAGCTTATTTGCTTCCATTTTAGCTGTAGTTAAAACAATAGTATTAGAAAATTTTGAGTGGGAACCATTTAATTCATTTCTTTACTTATTTTTAATAAATAAATAAATGATTTAGAATTCTTCAAGTAATTTATTTGGGTAACTCACAGTTGTTAGATTTGACAGTAAAGATCTATGAAAGCAGCAAGGTTTTATGGGTTTTGGGTAGAAGGTATCTCTCAAAGAAATACAAAACATGCTTTGCCCTTGATATTGCAAACCCATTGAAATAAGTGCCTTAACATCTTTATTCCTAAGTTTGCCTTTTATTTTCTGAAAAATATTATCCAGTTTTTTCTTATCCATAAGAAAATTTTGGTAATTCTTTCTCATCAGTAAGCACACAAAAGCCCACTATGCTCTTTACACTATTAACTTTAGTTCAGTAATAAGCCAATCTTTGTAAAGGGTAGAGTTGGGGTTTCTAGCCTCCTAAATTAATTTATTTAGCTTCCCAAATGCCAACAATCCAGCAAACACAACTTACTGATAAGGTATATGATATTGACTCTGTGCTAGTTTATATATTTTCTAACTCTGGCATCTGTATGTTGGTGCTTTTTGTTAGACTGGTAGAGTTTTACAACCTAAGGAGTATGCATTGTACTTCAGCACTAACTTTGTTCTTCATTACTTTCTGTGTTTATACACAACATTAGTTTCCAGAACATTAACCTAAATCACCAATAATCTCAGTGTGTGGCACTCTTCCACACAGACCAGACCGATTCAAGAAAAAGCAGAAATGGAAGTCAAAATATGTTGCAAGTTGGGGCTGAAATATATGCTTTAAAAATAGATTATTAATTTCTTGAAGGGCACTGTGAATAGCCTTCTTATTAAGTTGTTTTATTTCAGAGAGATCAGTTGTTTTGGGCCCCTTCTATTTTTGAACTTTTAAACATTTTGATACATTTTTGTGGATAAGAGTAGTGCCTCTCTTTATACAGTTGGTGGAGTTTTAAGAAGTTGTAAGTCAATTTTTTGGTAAATTTATTTTAAATTCATGAATATTTAAAGGGCATATGTTATTAATTAATCTGTATATTTAAGAACCTTTTGTAAAGCAAATAACTACTTTCTGTTTTACATCTCAATATATTCTCTATTCATTTGTCCAATTTTTAAAATACATAGTCTTTACTGTTGCTATTTGTTAATTGTTTGAGATCCTAATATGTATCAGAATTACAGCTCTGAAAAGTTGCAAGTAAAATTGAATAATTTCTTATTGAAGAAATATCTCATTATTAAGTTTTTGAATGTGTAGGGTCAACACTTTAAATAAAATTAGATGTGAAAATTGCAAAGGAATATATATATAACTCAACTATTTTCTGTCCATTAAGGTTTCTGAACATTATACTTATTTGTTTTCCATAATAAAAGAGGACATTTTGAAACCGAATTTGCTGAATTTAGCATAAAGGCATCTTTGAATCATTTTTGTTTATAAGTCTCTTAGAATGTGCAACTTATAGTTTGAAATATCTCATAAATAACCCTTTCGTATTTAGGTTCATAGTTTTGTACAGCTATTTAACAATGATGAATACAACGACCTTTATGTTTATTGACCTCTGAGCCATACCTATAACAATGTGTATTTAGATTAAATATATTCCTCCTGTGACTAAGATTACAGCTTTTTAAAACGATAAGAATTAATTTCAATAAATATAAATCATTTAAAAGAGTTGTGTTATAAACTAGTTTACTTCAGGATTTGTAACATTCAATATACTTTTATCAAGAATGAAATTATTTCATGCTTAATTACTCTGCTTGTTTTGTTTCCATAATAAAACCTTTCTGTTATTTATACATAAACTTTGTTGTTTTGGCTTTATTGAGATATAATTCAGAGTCATGTGGTGGTAGTTGTAATTTCAAGACATGTTCATCACTCTAAAAAGAAACCCCATACCCTTTGGCTGTCAAAGCCCAACCACTCCATCCTCCCTAGACTTAGGCAGCCATTACTCATCTGTTTTCTATTCTGGACATTTCATGTAAGTAAAATCTTATAATAAGTGGTCTTTTGTGACCGGCTTCTTTTACTTAGCATAACGTGTTCAAAGTTTGTCCATGCTGTTTAACAAATCATTCCTTTTAGTGCCAAATAATATTCCATTGTGTGGATATACCACATTTTGTTTATCCATTCATCAGTTGATAGACATTTGAATTGTTCCTACTTTTTAGCTATTGTGAATAATTCTGCTATGAACATTTGTGTTCAAGTTTTTGAACTTGAACATATGCTTGCATTTCTCTTCCGTATGTATCTAGGAGTAGAATTGCTAGGTCATATGGTAACTCTGGTTAACTTTTTAAGGAACTGCAGGACAGTTTTCCAAAGTGGCTACATCATTTTACAATCCCTCTAACAATGTATGAGAATTCTAATCTCTTCCCATCCTTGCCAACACTTACAATCCTTCTTGATTATGGCCATCCCAGAGTGATGTGAAGTGGTTTTAATTTGTATTTTCTTCATGGCTATGATGTTGAGCACCTTTTCATATGCTTATTGACCATTCGTATATCCTCTTTGGAGCAATATCTATTTAAATTCTTTGTCTATGTTTACTTGGGTTGTGTTTTTATTACTGAGCTGTAAGTGTTCTTTATATATTATAGATATAAGATACTTATCAGATACATGATTTGGAAGTACTTCCTTCCATTTAACGGGCTCTTTTCACTTCTTTGATAGTGACCTTTAAAACACAACCATTTCTTTTTTTTTTTTT